CCCCCTCCTTGAGGGCCTCAGGAAAGAGGAGGCCTCTCAGGACACCAACCAAACACCACACAACAGAACAAGCTACAATAAGGACAGGCACGTGCTTTCACATTGAGGCTGAACTAGGCAACCCAGTAGCAGGAAACGGGTCCCACCAGTAGGCAAAAGAGTCAGAGACAGCCCCCGTTCCCACTGTTAGGAATCCCACAAGAACACCAAGCTACTCAGCCACCAAATATTAATGCAGAGGACCTAGGTCAGACCCCTAGAGACTCCCTGATCTCTGTGAGTCCCCATGAGATCCAGTCAGCTGATTCTGTGGGCCATGTTCTTGTGTTATCCCTGACCTCTCTTGTTCCTACAATCCCTCCTCCCACTCCTCCACAGATTCCTTGAGCTGAAGTCTGTCTTTAATAAAGGACACCTCTATTCCAGCAGTGGGTACTCCATAATGTGGGCAGTTTATCTTGCTTGAGTTTTAACTCTTTCTTTCGGAAGTAGAATTCTTTCTTACACAAAGGTAAATACCCAGAGCTGAAGACATTTTTACAGCAAAGGTCTAGCTTTCATATTGAGATAACTGATTATTTTCTAATTTTCACAGTCTTGATGTTTTCATAAAAAGAAAGAGGCAGGAAAAGAACGTCAAAATAAAACCACAGTACATAACACTTTGTCTACCATTAGATTATAAACCATCTGTTCCCTCAGAACACAAGCTTTAAATATCATGTGACTAGCATCACAGCCTATCAACACCATCTTCTAACTATTATTTCTGACCTCTTATTCCACTTTCTTTTTCCCTGTTTCTTTAATTTTGTTAATTCTTCATTTGCAGTGTGTCTTGCTCCTTAACTCAAAACCCCCTCTAGTTGTGGAGATGTGATCAGCTGACTGCACTGGATTATGGATGCTAACAAAATATTTACCTTCCTCAAGGGAGATCTTTGAGGAACTAGACCCAAGTTCATGGCAGAATGAAAATATTCATAACTTAGACCAGGTTTAAAGAAAGATCAGGATCAATTCTGTCCCTTTGTATATGTGTTCCAGGAATAATGGCATTTGTCATTAGTAATACCTAGTTATTATTTCATAAAGTCACAAAAAAGAAATTTGTATGCATGAAACTGTGTTTTAGTTGATGTCAAAGGAAAGCCTATCACAAAATATTGTGCTGTATTCTTTATTGCTACATAGCCCAGGAAGAATTTTATGTTTGCAAGGGGATCCAGCCATAGTTCCGTCCCAAATCAATAGTGCCAAAGCTCCCCTGTTGTCATGAGGATTCTGCAGAACAGTATGGTCAGATCACTCCCTGCACACTAACTGTCTTACTTTATGGTCTCTCTCATTCCATGCCTACTTAACTTCATTTATTGCTTTGTTCTCATGTCCTTCGGCTGTTTCCAATCTACTGCACGGGCAGAACAAACACAATATGTTAACATACAAAGGTATTTAGGTAAATGAAAATCAATGCACTGGTGTCAGCACAATTCTTTATTGCTTACCTTGGACATTTCAAATACGTTCTATTTGAACATTAACAACTTTCCCTCTGTCTGGGAAGTATAATGATGTTCTTGGCTCCCTGCCCCTGAAGTCTCTAATCTTCACAGCTATGGCCACTTAGTCCCCATCTGGAGGTTCAGGCTTATCCTGAATTTTGGAACCGATCTTGTCTCTAGGCTGGAGCATGTAAGATATCTTAGCCAAAAGTTAACTGATCCAGCATCCAGCCAGCCTTCGTGTTGATTTTATTTTTGACCTTGCAATTTATTATTCCAATTTAAGCTATGTTCCTTCTACCTCTGGTCACCAAGGCTTGGTCATCTAAGTCAGGTTCACTAAGTAGACCTGGTTTAGTCCCTAATTCATTTTCCTGCTTGATGCCCAATTCCTGGAGGCTCTGCCCTGTCCCCCTGTCTCTTTCATTACAAAGCTATTTCTGAAGTCAATTTGTCATGCTGGGGCCTCATGGACAACTGCTAGTTCTTTCTGATGCCGCTAGCCTGGCACATAAATCCTTGAACTTCATTTATACCATGAATCTGAAGTTTGCAATATACAAGAATTAGCACTTTCCTGGCTTGGATGTTTTCCCACTGCCCATTATAAGTATTTTCTGAGTCATCAGCTCTAACCCACAGTCCTTAGGAGTCACTGTGTATACATTGCCTACAATCTGGCAATTTCATTATTCTAGGCAGGGCAGCAAAGAAACATTTTAATTATATCTTTGATTGAATTGTCATGCCAACACCTTCTGCCTACATTCACCTCATACCCCATCTTGTCCCTGCCACTTAAACACTTCAAAAATTAATTTCTTCTCTGTAAAACAAAGTAATCTGTATAGCTATTTTGAAAAAAAAAAACCCGAGAAAAAGTGTGTACAAATGATAAAACACATAGTAAGCAATCCAAAATCCCTAGATAATTGTAGTGGGGAGCTGTTTGAGCCATGCCCTGAAGCACCGTCCCTAGTGAGGCAGCTGCAGCTGTTACACCTGCGCATGACCTTGAGGTACCTGCCCCTGGGGCGTGGCCACAGGGACCCTTAAGACTTGGGATGCACGTATGCTCTCTTTCTTGGATGGTTTTGGATGCTGAGATCTTAGACCAAGCCGTTCAGCATGGGACATAGCTCAGTTTTCCTGGACCCTACAATAAATCTCCTGTGGTTGTGAGTTTACCCCCAAATAAATTCCTTTGATCATTAAATAGACTCCATGGATTTATCCCAATAGGTAATGGTATAATGCCATGTCTTAAATTCTGTACTTGGAGAGTGTTGGTTAAAACTGACCATTATAAAGAGAGATGGGAGAAAGAAAGTTCTTTTAAAATCTTCTGTACCACCAGTACATGCTCTTAACTGCTGAGCCATCTCTCCAGGCCCCCTCTATGTCTATATTTTTTAAAAGGAAAGCAATCGTCAGCTTGAAAAATGATGGGAAACTAGAAATGAAGTCAATGATTCTTTTAGTCAGTCATTTCTTTTAAAGTAGCATTTCCATAAACATTCAAGAAATTTCAGAAAAGTAAAAAAAATAAGTCCCACTTCACTGAAATTTTGATTCATTAAGTTTGGGGTTGAGCTAAAGAGTTGATATGTTTGAAAGAATCTCAAAAGAAATTCTGGTGATCTCCCACATTTGGGACCATGAATTTATCAGCATCAGAATGTTCAGGATGCTCTTAAGAAAGCATGCATCCATTTTCCTGAAGCTGCTTCAGCCAATGCGTGCACCACAGATGCATTCCTAGCTGTCCAGTCGCTGAAGGTGTTTGGTGTCTGGAAAGCCGACTGATGTCTACTTTTATGAATAGACAGTAATTCTGTCTGGTTACATACTGTCCACATGTAAGTGTCTCAGTTTGTTCAGGTGGTGTCTTTTCCTTATTTCTGCATTAAAATGTGTTATAAGTCCCTAATGTTTCACTCCTGCCAAATGTATCCACATTTATTTAAAAAGTGTTCATTTTCTTTAGAGAAACTCTTTCTACTCTTGGAGGCTTTATCAAAATGAGTGTTGATAGCATTTGGTAAATAGTTTTCATATTGAAGAAAACAAATGGTTTTCTGTTTTCATCAAAGAAATGAAGTGCATGTAAAAGAGAAAGAAATGGGGGAGGAAGGGAGTGGAGGATGGGAAGGAGGGAGGGATGGAAGGAGAGAGCAGAGGGAGAAAAGAGAAGAGAGAAAGGGGGAGGTAGAAAGACATGGAGAGAGTTAGGGAGAAGGATGAAGGGAGGAGAAGGGGGAGGAGGAAAGGGAGAGAAGAGGAGGGAAGGGAAAGACTGAATGCTTTTTCCCTATCCAGACACACCAGACTCTGTTTCCTTGGGCTTTATGCACTTTACTAAGTGATCAGACCAGGACCAATGTACGCAGACGGTTGAGAAGGCTAAATATTCCACACCATTCAAAGTAATGCAGACTATCATTGTTCAGCATATCCTTATATGAGAAGATGAATATTCTGTAGAGAAAAGGAGAACCTAATGCTGGAGGGCAGACCAGTGTGTGTGTGTGTGTGTGTGTGTGTGTGTGTGTGTGTGTGTGTACATGTGCACGAGAATGTGTGTGTATTTGGTTTATGTGTCTTGTCAGCTTGGCTGTGGGTAGTCATATGTGTCCTCTCTTAAATCTTGACTACTCAGACCCACAATGCTAGAAACTGTGTTAGTAATTGCTGTAGTTTGGACATTCTGTCAATACTTATGTTCAAATTCTTGACAATGAATTGCATTAGAAGAGATGGGTTGGGAAAGGTGGTTATGTCATATATACTGAATCCTCATTAATTAATTTATTAATCCTTCTATAAAAGAGGACAAGAGAAATACCTTGCTCCTTGTACTTTAGGCTACACCAAGGCCAATGCTGTCTATAGGAAGCAGACTCTTAAGTCTTCTCCAGGATGGATGTTGAACTTCCTAGGCTCAAGAAGGGGTAAAATACATTTCTGTTGTTTTCAGATACCCATTGCCTGGTATTTTTGTTATTGCAACCTAAAGAAACTTAGAAGTCATCTGTTGTTCCTAGATGAATCAGAGATATCTAAGTAAATCTGATTTCCCTTTTTTTTTTTTTTTTTGGTTTTCTGAGACAGGGTTTCTCTTGTGTAGCTTTGCGCCTTTCCTGGATCTCACTTGGTAGCCCAGGCTGGCCTCGAACTCACAGAGATCCGCCTGCCTCTGCCTCCCGAGTGCTGGGATTAAAGGCGTGCGCCACCACCGCCCGGCCTGATTTCCCTTTTTGTCTGGTAAGACTGACTTGGGTCGTCAGTGATGGTTCTGTTTGTTATGCAGACTTCTGCTTCCCTCACCCATCTCACAAGTTGGCTCCAGCAGCTTTACAGAACTTTCTCCTTACTGCCTTTGGAAGTCAGAAGAAAATGAAAATACCGACAACATGTTCCTTGAAAGAATAGCTAATGAATGAAAATAATAATTAATCTCTGACATTATTTTAAGAAACCAAAGCAGCGTCTTACCAGACATCCTCAGCATCTTCATCACACTCTGCCCCGAACTGGCAAATGTCACAGGTGGAGGTCTCCTTCTGACTGCTTTCTCCAGAGCCTTCGTGGACTGCGGAACAGAAACCACACATGAAGGGCATGCAGGAAGGTGTGGACAGTATCGACGATACTGGGAGAATTCTCTGTCAAAGCTGCTACTTCCCAATGGGATCACCTTAAAAGTAATTTAGAGTGGTCTATACTTGGAGGAAAAATCCAGTGAATATTTGTGAAAAGTATTTTGCATCTTCTTATTCCTAAAGTTCACATTTTTTCATTCAAAGGATTACAATCTTAGAAATATTAGATGAGTCGTCTTATTAGATACTTCTATTTTTCCCTTTGCATGTACGTATTTATAAAGAAAACATGTTGATTATAAATATTTAGAAAATAATTTAAAAACTTAATGTCTTATTTAATTTGTGTACGTGTGTGTGTGTGTGTGTGTGTGTGTGTGTGTGTGTGTGTGTGTGTGCGCTTGTGTGTTGGGATGCCTAAAGCAGCCAGAAGAGAGTATCAGGTCACCTAGAACTACAGTTACAGGTGAGTCACCTGATGTGGAGCTGAAAATTGAATTCTATCTTCTAGAAGAACAAAAAGAACTCTTAACTAGTGATCCATCTCTCCAGCCTCAAACTTTATTTTTTTTGCAGGTTATCTTGAGTTATGAACATAAGTTGTTTTAAAATATTAATGTAGGTACTTGTTATTATTGATATTGGTCTTTTACCCTAGAGTATAAGTATGAAATTGGCAAAATGTAGACAAATCACAAATTAGCATCTCAAAATCAGCACAGAACGATGCAAGAGAGAAAGAAAAAATTCTAGTGACTGGATTGCAAAGACCGAGCAGCACGTCTGAAGTGGTGGGCTCAGTGGACACAGTGAGCTCAAAGAGAAGGGAGCTTTGCTTGAAAGGGAAAATTGAACGATCAAACTACTGCAGAGACAATCAGTTTCCAGGGACAGAGTGCACACTTTTCAACAGTGTTCAGACACCAAAGTGTCTTTAAAGAACCCATCGGTTAGAGATCACATGATTTCAATAGAAAAGTGTGTAATTCTTCCATGGACCTCACGACCATTTTATTAAAAAGCAATTGATTAACACACACTCTTGGTCCATTACACCCAAACTTTTTTTTTTTTTAATTTTACTACCATTTTCCATTTTCTCATCACTTATTTTTTGCCTATTAATGAATTTTTAGTATTTAAAAAAGTAATCATCTTTCTTGATTTTAATTTATTTGCTGTGAATAAAAATTATTTGGGGATCGCTTCTCGGCCCAGAACGCCTGTAGGAGAGTTCTAATTCACAACTCTGACAGGAGACTGAGAATGTGCTTCTAAAACAATCAAGTTTTTTCTTGTGCCTGATTATGTATCCTGATGCTTTCTTTCCATTTTCCCTGTGCCTAGTAGTCTTAATTTGTGTTTAAGTTATGAGTTAAATGGGTCACACTACCTGGCAAAAGCATTGATAATATTGCTTTTAACCTAGATATCCCAGGGGAAAAAAATTCCCTCTGAGCTTTTGAGGAAGAAGGAACTTAACTCTGATTAAAGAGGCAGTACTTACATCAACCTCCCCGACCACTCTAGTACAGAAAGACCATTAGAGTGGACCATGGGGATGGGAGGGAAGCTGAGGCCTTACCTCAGGGGAGACTGAGTGCTGAGGCTGGTCTCTTTATTATTATTTATTCGCATCACAGAAGCTGCTAATGGGAGTGAACCTTTTAGTGTTAGCAGGATTAGCAACTCCCAGGCTACAGCTTCCCATCACTTAGGAAACATACCCCAGTGAAGGGAAGGTGCTTAATGATGAGTGGTAGCACTTAAGGGCAGGCCCTTCTTCTCCAGCAGCTGAGATCCTGGGTTAGGGATCCAACCAGGATGGGGGTGAGGGGCATTGCTAACTCAGCAAGACTGGCCATGGCAATCTTACCCGAAGCCATGCTATACTCCATGAAAGGGAAGTTTTTGGTAGGAAAGACATGTTTGGAATTCTTCTCACAAGGAGAAGTAATTCATAATAAGATGTAGTAGTGCCCTGTCACTAAATACATGGGAAATAAAATGCTACACATGAAGTCATCCATAAGAAAGCTAAAAGAAAATATTTCCTTTGTACCAGAAATACCTCACCTATATAACACATAAGCAATTAAATCAGCTCACTTCTATTAAACCTCATAGACCAAGGGCTCTTCAGTAGGGTTGGCCTCAGAAGCTGTGATAGATTTTATTTGTTCACTTATTTATTTGTTGATCTTGGACATACTGAATTAATGGCATAGTTTGAGGCTGAAGTGTGTGTATTATAAAAGCCAACAACAAAAATAAAGGCTTAAAACCTGACCGCTGATTAAGACACTGTCTGAGTCAATGCCTGGAAGACTTCAGCAGTCCTACATTTCAGCACAAGGCTTCCAGCCCTGGAAATGCACAGGGGCATCTGAGGGGTGCTGTTAAAATCCAGATTCTTATTCAATAGGTATGAAGATTCTGCATTTCTTACTGCTGGGGATACTGTTCCACAGACCACATGTTGAGGAGAGAGAACAGTACCATGCATCATTTCAAACCACAATGTACAACCTATTAGTGGTCGGTGAAACTAAATGGGCCAGAACCAACCTTTTTGTAGCTATGTAACAACCTACACTAGACTAGACAACGTCGGTGTGTCTTATTTAGCAAGAATGAGCTTTATTATATAACATTGCTCTAGTCATACATACGTTCTTGCATAGAGGCTAAAACGTGAATTGTAATTCTCAGTAAAGGTCACGGTCACACAAGCTTGCAAACCACTGATTTAGCACCTGTTACAAGCTCAGTAAATGTGCACTACATGGAGCTGTATCTTCTTTGCCTTCTTTCTACATGACCAGAAACAGGATGGAAAGGCTGTGTGCTTAACTTTTGGTATCCATATAATGATTATATGGGAACAAATCTATTTATCACAGAGGCTTATCTTAACTGTGCATTTACATTTTAAGTTCTTCATTTTGAGCTGCCACGTGGAATGATTATTTCATTTTATTTAATAGAAATAGGTTTTAACAAGCGGATGAAGGGAATTTATGGGGCAAGAGGGGTGCAACTTATGAAGATACTGGCTATTTGATACACTATTCTAGACTGGAAACTTTTTTATTCCATTTAAGAAAGTTTAGAAGTGGAGATATATAAGAAGTAATCAGATCTACTCCTTCTAATCTCCCTGCCCTGGTGGCTTCTTCCAAAGGGTAGTGACCTTCCTTCATCCCCACTTTGTTTTGGCTCAAAACAGGTTTTTATACCGGTCCTACACATTGACATGGTTCCGGAGCCTAATTCTCCACCTGCCTCACTGTCACATGTCCATTTATAATGCCCTTAGCACAAGGGATGGAATGTTCAAACGGTTTTTCAATGTCTATTTTGTTGAGAACCTAGCAGAAATAGACATTTAGTGACATACTCAGATTGTAAGGCAACTTTTCGAGTTTGAAGAATGCTTAGAACAGATTTTAAGGGTGGCCTGGGGAAGGGTAGGGATGGGAACAGGAGGGATCAGGTAGAGGAATGATGGGCAGAGGGAGAGAGAACTGGGGGGGGGGGGCATTTCTGGGACAATGTGGAAACCTAGTGCTGTGGAAGCTCCCTGGAATCCACGAGGGTGACCTGAGTGAAGACTTCCAGTAATGGAGGCTATGGAGCCTGAACCTGCCATCTTCTGTAATGAGGCAAGGTTTCCAGTGGTGGGCCTGGGACACCAGCCCAGTCACAAAACCTTAGACCTGCCTGCAAGATGTGCTGGAGTAAAGGTGTTGCAGAACTTGTGGGAATGGCCAATCAACAACTGGCCCAACTTGAAGGCAACGCTACCTGACAAGGAGCCCAACCTGATGCTGCCTTGAGGTCCAGAAACCAAAAGCTGGATAGCCCAGAGACATAGGATAAAAGCAAACACAACTAACAGAAGAAAAGTCAATGAAATGATTCCGAGTGTTATTCTGCTGTACTCATAGATTGGAGCCTAACCCAATTGTCCTCAGAGAGGCTTCATCCAGCAACTGAGGGGAGCAGATGCAGAGACTCACAGCCAAATATTAGGTGGTGGTCTTGGAATCCTGAGATAGTTGGGGGGGGGGATGGATGGTAGTAGTCAGAGTTGTTGAGAATACCATGAGAACATGGCCCACAGAATCAACTAAGCAGGGCTCATAGCGGCTCACAGAGACTGAAGTGGCAATCATGGAGCCTGCCTGGGTCTGAGCTAGGTCCTCTGCATGTATGTTATGTTTGTGTAGCTTCATGTTCTTGTGGGACTCCTCCAGGTTAGAGTGGGGGTTGTCTCTGACTCTTTCGCCTGATCTTGGGTTCCTTTTTTTCCTAATGGGTTGCTTCATCCAGCAATATGAGCATTGGTGCCTGGTCTCATGGCATTGTGTTGTGCCTGTTGTGTTCGGTTGATGTCCTTGGCAAGCCTGCTCTTTTCTGAAGGGAAACTGAGGAGGAGTGGGTCTAGGGGAGAGGGGATGTGGGAGGAGTGGATGGAGGGAAAACTGTGACCAGGATGGAATATATAAAAGTATTTTTTTAAAAAAGCATGCACATGGAGACATAGAGAGCCATCTACTGTCTCATAAGGTCCCTTATACTCCTTTCCTTGTGCCCACATTTCCTGCCACTACCCTGTCTGCATGTGGGCAGGTGGGGCATCTGCTCTTTGTCACCACAGTCTACATTTAGCTGTTCTAGAATGCCAGATTAATCAAATCAGACAGCAGGCCTTCTTTGGGTCGATCTTTTAATCATAATTTTGAGAGTCAGGTAGTTGGAGTGTGTCGATAGTACCAAGCCTCGGCTGCTTACTATTCCTTTAAATACTAAGTGTCAGTTTATCTATCCATCCTCCCATTGAAGGAGAGCTGGGCACTTGGAGTTATTAGCTGGAAAATGATTGGGCACGAGTGTAGCTCTGGGGCTCAGTGGTAGACTACATGATTGGCATTCATGAGGGTATGAGTTTGATCTACACACATACACACACTGAGGAACACTGGGA